GCCGTGCACGCGCAATGGCCGCTGTGACTTCCGAGACTCCAATGACCAGTTTGACTGCTCAGGAGGCCCCGACTATGGCCGCAGTCCTTTTTGAAGGACGAGACCTTGTGTCCTTGAGTTTGACTGAGCTGGCCCAATTCCAAGGAGACGGAAATCTCATCAGAGCTCATGGAGACCACCTCGGTCAACACGTTTCGAGTTGAGGCCACACGATGGCATACTGCTGCCCCCAACCAAGAGAGCGACTTGCATTTGGTCAAATCTCTTGTGTCCGAATTGTCCGTGCGCGAGGCCGCTGGGCAAGACCCCAGCTTGGTGGTTCCATCTTTTTGCCACTGAACGAGAATCTCCTTGGTTGCCAAGGGAAATCTCTAACAGATTTGAGGAACGAGATTGTTGAGATGGCAAGCCGCTTGCGGCACCTACGATCTGGTGCAGGGATGTTCGGTTGGGCTTATTTTTGAAAAGCTCCTTTGTCTTCAGAATAAGGAGGTTGACAAGAGCGATGCTGCCAGTGTGACCGAACCCATGCCGAGTGGGGAGATCCGTGTTGAAAGCTTATTGGATACATTGTTGTGGGCGACCCGCAAATTCGGGAGTTTGAGCCAGGTGATGACTCGCATGTGGGAGGCCTCCGAGAAAATCGGAGAAGCAAGTTGCACCCTCGGGCCAAAGATCGAAGGGCAGCAGCAGACCTTGACTCGCGTGAATTGCTCGCTCAAGGAACACATGCTGTCGCAAGGCAAGCTTCTTGGCGAGGCTTCAGTGACAGCTACCAAGAGTTTTGAGGTGTTGGCGAGCTTGTGTGAAGGAGTTGATGGACTTCAAGAGACTCAGAAGGAAACGAACACTTTGTTTCGCGAGTTGATTGAGGGTCAGAAGATGGCTTTGAAAGAGGCCACAAAGGCTCCGACTACGGCTCCGGCCTTCCCGCCTCAGATTCAACCCAGTTGGCAGTGGAGTTACCCAGCCAGGTGTGCCAGCTGCATTCCAGAACTTGGCATATCCAGGAACTGGAGTTCCCAAAATCCCCGGGACAGATTTGCCACAGCCTCCCATGGCACCCAATGTGGCTCCACAGGCGGCAGGTACGCCAGCTACGCCAATGACCCCGACGGCACCGAGGCTCTCGAACGAGAGGGACCGCCAGGATTCCCTCCGCCAGGATTCAAGCGAGTCCGCCTTGCGAGTGGACAGTACATGACAGTACCTCAGGGCTGGGCGCCGGATGAGTCCCATTTGTAAAGGATTGGGCATCCATTTTCTTGTTTGAAGACCTTGTTGAGGTCATGAGCGGGGATGTAGTATCCCAACTCAGCCTGATGGAAGGCCATGAGCTCCCACGTCCAGCACCACGAAAGAAAAGAGCGATGATCTTTCTTATTTTCTTTTTGTTTTTCCCGAGAGACACGAGCACCATGATTGCAACCTTGGCTTGCGACCTTGACTTGAGGCATGTAAACGTGATATGTCAGGTTGAATCCATGGAGAATGTGCTTGGATGCATTTTTGTCTTGTTATTCTTTTTCTTGAAGATGTGTCTTGATTGGAGAAAGGAAGAAGAAAGCAAGAGAAAGCAAGAGAAAGGAAGAGAAAGGAAAGATCAGAAAGGCAGGTCGAATTAGACACGTGCAGCGTGGCAAGAGGGTTTTGATTCTAGAGTTTGGATTTTCTGTGGCGTGACGAGTTCACTTGATGCAGGATGATTGGAACCAAGTTCATTTCCAGTTTAACCTCTAGAGTTTCTTGTGATGTCTTGTGCAGTTGCTTGGAGCTTTGTTCATCGCAGGTTTAGCTTTCAGCGAGTTTCGTGCGAGTTCACTTGTGCTTGCTTGCAACTTTGTTCATTGCGAGCTTGTGTCTAGATAACTTCTTGGGGATTTGTGTCCTTGCCAGGTCTTGAGGTTAGAGGTTTGCGCGGCATTGTAACTCTAGATAACCTTTTTGCATCCTGAGCTGACAGGTAAGTTGTCCTTGAAAGCTTTTGCTTTTGAGGATCCCGATGATGAGACCAGAAGGCCACGCAGAAGGGATCTGACCCTGAGATCTCATGGCTCGCCTCTGAGGGATCCTCAGTACACGTTTGTCATTGGTTGAATGCGTGTTGGTTGAGGGTTGAAGTTGGCTCTTTGATGGATCTGGAGTTTTGCTTGGGTTGGACTCGAGTTTACCTCTGGATTGATACCATTGAGGTCACCTTTGAGGGCAGAAGTTTGGATCTTAGTTGATGTCTGATCCTTAGTTGCTCACAGAAAACGAATAGAAGAAGAGAAGAAGACAGAAGAAGAAAGAAGGTAGCGCTATGCGACACAAGAAGGGGTGTGAACAGTAACGTACAGCGCACGTGTACAGTGTATGGCTCACCTAGTGCTTGCTTCTTTAGGGAATTTTCGTTTTTAGAGTGCTTGGGGTTGGAGCTGGGTGGTGATCTGTGCCCTTTTTGTGTTTGACCTTTGACCACCTTAGCAGGAGGATGTTTGAAGTGGCAACTTGTGGCTAGGAATAGCTTGGAGAACCTTTAGAGCACGATGTCTTTGGAGACTGTTTGACGTAGTTCTTTGTAGTTTTGTGTAGCTTTGAGATGACTATGGGTAGTCTTGTACTCTTTTGAGAAGAGTGGATGAGCTTAAGAGAAGCTTTGAGGACGTTTGAGACAGTCTACAAGCGACTGTAACTTTGGCTCAAGGAGCGGGATCGAAAACGAAGCTTTGCTGCTGTGTTTTCACAAAATCGGGCGTTGAATTAGCGCAAAAAGGCTACTCGAAGAGCCTGGAGCCAAGTCGAAGTTGCTGACACTATTCCTGGCTTGATTAATAGCTGAACAAGTTGACCACATTATGAGCGAGAGAAGCAGGTGATCCCCATGCCCGGGATATTGCTCTGTGTTGCTTTGTGTTTACAAAGGCGTGGGCAATCAGATCAGACCAACTTGGAAAAGCTAGTCAGACGGCATGGTTGATTTTTAGGGTGCGTTTCTGTTCTCTTATGCTCATACTTCATGATTTGGAAAACCACTGGTGACAATTCGGCTCTGACGCTCCAAACGAAAGGGCCATCCATTGTCAGCAGTGCGGCCTATCGATGCTGTGCAGTAGTTTGGCTGTCAGTGAGATGGAGATGGCTGTAATGAATGACATATCGAACAAGCAGGGATAGTGACGCTCCTTGCAGTCTTGCAGCCATGCATCTCCCTCCCGCAGAGGGAGGGGGGTGATGCTGTCTCACCATGGTGCCCCTCTGAACAGCCAGTCAGAGAGGTCTTTTTCTGCAAGTTTTGGACAGTTAGCGGAAAGCTTGTCGGGACATCGGGATACGAGTGGACAGGCTGTCAGCCAGTGCATCATGCACCGTGCCGGTGCCAGTCAAACTGGATTTTGCAAAGCCTGCAACCGCATGTCTCGGAGAACAGTTTTGGAGTCGCTGGGTGACTTGGTGCCACCAACATTCTTCGCTTTGCTCTTCCCACATCCCTTCAGCACGTCTGTCAAATGAATGCCCACCAAATGCAGTGGATAAACAATGGGGAAAACAAACTTCAAACTCTTGGCCTAAAAGTAAACTCGCCCTCAATCTCGGCAACAATGAAATGTGAAGCGAATTCTTGACAGGATACAAATTGCCTCACTCACAAAGCGTTCCACAACCACAGCCGTGCACATGCTTCCCAACCAACAAGGCTTTCCTGCAGGTCGCACTTCTCCTTGGCCAGTTCCAGTTGGCTGTTCCTTCTTTGACCTCCTGACTCCTCTCCACAGATCCGACAGGGTCATAGTTCTGAGGACCTGCTCTGGTGACACTCCTTTGGATCAAAAGAAGTCACATTAAGTGCTGCACCGGTCCTGAATTCAATCGGGGGCCTTCTCGACCAATGAGTTCTGCAAGGATCTGACGAGCATCTTCACGGGCCGCAGTGGGGAGGCCCTCCGTGGTGCAAGTGTTTTTGGACCCCAAAATGAAGGCCACAAATTCACCCGAAAATGCAATTTAACTTTGGACACATCAATGGCCAAACCCACGCCCAAGCCTTTGTCAAGAATGGTTGAGCGCCAAAGAATAACAAATATGACTGTTTTGGGAAGTATCCAGAAAGATGTTTCAAGTGCATTAACGGAGATTCAATCAAGGTTGTTATTGACCTCCTTCTAGTAACACTCCCTTGTGTTTTTTAGTTGTCGTGTACTGCCTGCACCTCCGGAGAAATAGAACCTTGGGCTAAGCCAACGCGTGTCAGTATGGCCTTGAGTGGCAAAGACCGTGGCATTTCACTTGCCAATGCAAACATTAACAAAACACGCCTAAGTACGATGGGTCAAATGACACATCAGTACTGCACTGAATGGATGTTTTACGACCTGACTTGCAAAATTCATAAGTTCAAGTAAACGCTTCAATGATGCAGCACTTGATGTCAAATTGCCTAATTACGGTTTCCTGGTATTTCTCGATGAACGAGTGAGTGGCATGAAGGGGAGTGGTAAATTGGGCAGGCATAGAGCTTCCCGTTCTCGTGGTGTTCCCTGCAGGGCCCGGATTTCCCGTAAGATTTTTTTGTACTCCCGCCGAAGGTTTTCACCATCCCGAGCCTGGCTGCACACCAAGCACAACAACCAACAACCAACAACAGCAGCAGCAGCAGCAGCAGCAACAACCATGCAACTACAACTACATTTATTTTTGTTTCAAGTGGATCAAACAACCAAAAAAACGTAATTAACAACAAAATTAACAAGCAAACAACCTAGCAACCAAGCAACCCACAAAATTTTGCATTTCCGGGGGCTCCCCAACAACCCGCTCTCGCTGTACAACCAATTTGCCAGACTTTGTTTGCATTGCGGGGGATGTGCCGCGCCCTTGGTGATCTGATGCAGGGGGACCAGCCACAAGGTTTTGAACCACAGTAACAATTCCATGTCATGCACATTTCTTGATTCTCGGAGGTGTTCAAAACGCGGTCTTGGTTCAACCAAGACTTGTAGCGGTTTTTTGGTTCGGACGCCATGGGCGAAGCAAGCGAACCCAGGCTGGAGCGACATGAGTCAACGACCGTGACTTGCAAAATGCTGCGACCGATGTTTGGGTATCCTGACACTGTCAGACTTTAATGTCTTGGGATCTTTGCACAATTGGTCACAGGGCTGCAATCATAAGGTGCTGGACAGTCGGAGTGAACTCGGACGTCATGGTGCAGCAAGTAATTGATGCCCGGTGAATTGTTCGTTTGCGGCTGTTGACCTGCAAGGAGCTTTGCCCCAGAGGCAGAGGACCAGGAACCATCTTCCACAGAGGTTGTGCATGGTTTTTGCCGTGTGTGAGGGAAGGATATCTCACCCTTAGCGCCGGGCTTTTGAGCAACTATTCTTTGTCCAGTTTGGGATTCTTTTCATTGGGGCAGAAGATCAAGATGCTTGGTGTTGGTCAAAAGAGACTTGTGAATGACTTGTACCAAATTCCACCCGTGAAATGAAACATAGAGGGTCCTGATGCGATTCATTCAGATCGCAGCCTTTGGTTTAGTTGTGGATTTTTGCATTGTATAAACAAATAGGTGGTGCTGAAGCAAAAGCACAGTAGGATTCCCCTTAAACATCCCGCTTTGGCAACGAGGAACACCCAGCCCGTTCCAGTGATCGGATCCTCAAATTGAATGGTTCCAAGTCTCGTTCAAACGAGATTCACTTTCAATCTCTTTGGGGTCTGGGTCTTCCGATTGCGCTCGACACACTCGTTCCCAACGAAGGAGGACGAGGGAGAGCAGGCCCACGAAGGCTTGCTGGAGAATGACTTGTACCTGCTGACCCAGGGCCAGGAGAGCGGGGCAGTCGAGGAGGGCGGGACTTTCCAAGGATTTTGAAGGGAATGGGTCACCAGACGGATGGCATGCGCGGCAGAATCTCCCTTCTTGAAGAATGGCTTTTTTTACTACAATGTGTGGTTGTCAACATGGGTTCCATCGACCCATTCCAGGCCGTGTGAAGGACGGGACCATGGTCCGTTGGAGTTGGACCTCGCTGGTTCGACCGGGCCTGACGGGACCATGGGAGCTGACCGTTCGGTGGAGCCACCAGGACGACCACGACCGTGGGCATTTGAATGGACCGAAGGCAAGCGAGAATGGCCAGCGAGGAAGGTTCCCACTAGATAGGTGGTTCTCTTGTGATGTTGTGCGGAAGCACTGACACCATTTTGGAAATCAGTTATATCACTTCTCAGGCAAGACAAGGCTTTGATGTGCTTCAGCCCGGGGGTTGGGTAAATTTGTGGCAGCTCTCCAAGCCCCTTTTGAATGCATTCTGACCCACAAAAGGGTTGGACAGTTTGTCTGCTTTCGGGGCTTCAAGAATTCGTTTGAGGGAGTGACAAAATGAAGGCTTCTTGGCTCAAGCAGTTCGAAGAACCTGGCCCAGCCACTGACCTTTCCCACTCAAACCACCACCGAACGACCTCGGTCGCCGACCCCGCCCCTCGATCGAGGCCTCCGAGGGTCGCAGACCCGACCGCCGCAGGCGCGCGACCCGTCGGTCGCGTCGGTCGCGACGCGGAGGGGGACAAGGAAGGTCCACCGTCGGGACTACTGGGGAGACCTGCGGGATGCGGATCTCCGATCTCCTAGACTCTAGACCTGCATTGGTTCACAGCACAGTTTCCAGTTCACGCCAGTGACAACTGGCAGGGCGGACCGCCCTCCTCAGGCGGCGCCCCCACCGCTCGCCGAGCGCGGGCGACGCCGAGGACGCCGCTGCGCCGAGGCGGTTGGACCGTTCGACCGGGTCCGGGGTGGATCGATGGGGTCCGACGCCACTGGAAAACCGGGGGGGGGGAAGAGGTCCAAAGGCATCCAGGGTTCACAGGATGCGTCTGAAGAAGAAGAAGAAGAAGAAGAAGAAGAGGAAGAAGAAGAAGAAGAGCCAAAAGATACAGTAATCGAGCAGGCTGGGCCAGCAGTGAAGTGTTCTTTTGTTTCTTCTTTCTTCAGGGGAATTGTTGACTTCCCTTTTTGTGCTTTGAAGATTGGCAGCACAGTTGGAGGGCAGACCTCAAGGCGTATTGCCATGCATGTGAGAGCAACTAGGACCAGCTGACAGCTATGTCGTACCAAGTGCTTTTTCTTGGGAAGAAGCGAGCAGGAGTCCATTTCCAGGTGCTATTGGAGAAGTGCGTGTTAGATAGATAAAGAGATAACGCTCATTGAAAAAGCTAACACCTATCCCCAAGGTAAAGGTCAACAAAAGCTAGAAAAGGCTTCTTTAACTGAATTGCATGCATTTATCCATAAAACCTTTTTCTTGCACTATTCCCACATGCAAACACAAGCAGTCACTTGCAAGAGTCCTCATTTTGTTCAGTGATTCTGTGATTCCTCACGAGCGGTGTGTTGTTTGTGCTCCCAGGTTGGCTTTGCCTGCACCTGCAGATGCAGAGACCGAAGAGCCGGGGGAACCTGAGCAAGCAGATGAAGAGGAGCAAACTGGGTCATTCCTCCAAAGAGCGAGTTGTTTTCCAGTTGTCTCTGTGGGTAGGTGGGTCATTCAAAAATCCCCAACCCCCCACTGGAAACGAACGAACTGTCTCAATGGACGGACTTTGCCGCCCGCCGTTTGGGGCCCGCCGGTGCGTCGATCGCTCCCGGGCGGGTCGGGCGTCCGCGTCGATGGCGCCCGTCCGTCCAGGACAAGGCCGCTGAACTGGAACGCGCGCGGAAGCGGAAGAAGTTTGAGTCGCTTGGGACCAAAAGAGATGGTCCGGTGGAGCAGTGCCGAGGCAGACGAAGACTGAGACGAATCGTGGGAGGGGGTTGGTCTTTTTGGGAGAGGAATGGGGTTCTGAGATGGGTTGTGGGAGTGTCTGAGGTGGAAATGCTGGCTAACTGTAGGTTTCCTGAGCCTTTTTGCAGGTCCAAATGTGCACAACTCAACACTTTGGGATGAGAAGATCTGGAACGTGCATGAGCGCATGGGAGAGCTGGTTGAAAATTGTGGGTGTGCAGTGTGCAGTCAAAGGGGATGTGCTGTCCTCTCTGACCAAGTCAACCCAAGTATCTGAATTCACTCATTCTTTGTCAGACTGTTGGCATGTTTGTGCTCGAGGTATCATACAGGACAGTATGGTTCTTTACATAGAGTAAAAGGTCCTATACTCCTTTGTCAAGAAGACTGATTTGGACCGGATGCCCGTTTTGATCAGCACACCGGGATTCCCACAGGGTGGGAAGCTCCACCAGTTCGGGAGTGTCCATACTCCGTGAAGCGAGGTCCAAGCCAGTGGAAGCCAAACGTGAAGGCGATGGCTGGGAGAAGAGAAGATTGGACATGGTGTCGTGGCCGGTCATCTCTGAATTCTTCAGACCATCAATAGCCACTGGTGTGTGGGCATGTTCTTTTCTGTTGGTCACTGGAGTATGAGAGCTAGGCTCAAGAGCTCCCCCCAGTTGTTGCGAGCCTGGTGAGCGTGACGCATCCCGCCCCAGGATGCATGGTTGGCATGGTTCTTCAATGATTGCGCCCTGCATTCTGTTGCCAAGTCAAGTACATCATCGGAAGAAACACACAGCATTTTGTTGCACTCAAATTTACAACACCCTGCACGTTGACTTTGCAACAACAATTGGCCATGGCTGTGAAAAATTGTCACTGCTCGGAGTTGCTGAGTTTTGCGTGTTGGGAATATACAGATGATAGAAATTGATAGAAAAGCAAATCCCAACTAAACATGTATTGGAAACCGTGCCACTATCCATTTGGGAATCGGTACCGGGTACTCTCTGAGAATGTTTGGGCCAACCGATATAGCTTTTCTTCGACGCCTGCGCTGATGCTGCACTGGGCAGGTGATGAGGACGCAGATTGGATCTATTTCCCGTCTCTGGCAGCTGCGGCCCGCGAAACAGGCCGAAGTGAGCATACAGGATTTGGTGGGTCGCATCCTAGGGTGCTGAACCATAAATCCCCTAGGGTGCTGAACCATATGAATCCCTTAGGCCTTAGGGGTGCTGAACCATATGAATCCAGAATGCAGTTCTTCTTCCGATTCCAGTTTGGGTGGAAGGAACAAAGGCTACATTAGCACCTGACGATGTGCATGAGACAGATCTCGCTGTCTCGGGCCTGCGTCCTCCGCATGAGACGGATCGATCGCGTGCGTTTTTTGGATGCACCGCAGTCGCTGGTTGTTCCTGGTCAAAAGGAAGGGTGTTGGCATGGATTGCATTTTGGGTTTTGCCCTCTATCCCGAATTTGGAATATCCAGGCAGGAACCGCTGTCTCGAAACTACATCGGTTCGAGCTGGAATGGATAGCTGGAGCTGGATAGTCGCAGATGGCCGACTGGTCGCCCCAGCTGGTCGTCCCTGCGCTCTTCGAGGCGTGCCAAATAGCTCGGTGGCGGGTCTCTGCAGTTGGCAGGGCAGCCATTCAGGCCTGGGGAGGACTGGAGGACCTACCAGATCCTTGTGGCGTCGAAGGACCGGATCTATATATTTGTTTCAGTCAAATACATCGCTGGGTTTGACTGTTTGAATCCCGAAGAGCAAGTCGTTGTCTGGCTTCGGCCAGCTCGGAGCCAGTGCTCGTCCGCTGCAATTTGGGCTCGAGTGGTTTTGATGAAGCTGAAAGAGACCGTGCAAGCAGGAGTAACACCTGGGCAATGACATGTAGTGAAGATAGCACTAGAGCCCATATCCTTAGCTCAGCACTTGGAACTCTTACTTGGGCGCACAAGATTTCTCACCTGGCGTTGGCTGATGATCTGCACTGATTTTCAATCCCGACAGTCGAATTACCGTCTGGTTTGGTATGTTGCCCCAAAAAGGACAACATATTTGTAGGACATTCGTGTGCTTGTCATGGTCAGTTGCTATGGCTGGAGCCGCTCTTCCCTCCACCTCCTTTGCCTCAGCTTGCTTGTGCCTGAGCAGAAGAGATGTGTGGGGAGGAGGCTATTGGCTTGTGCCACGGACTATGAGCAAGACAAATGCTTTTTGTTGTCTTTGAGGAGGAGAAAGCTTCGGCGTACTAACTAGTGACATCTAGTGACTATCCGTGACGTACAACGAAATACTGTGGTACATTGGACCTTGCAATGGAGTGACGTCCACGGACTGCCCTGCCCAACCTACACATCCTTTTGTATAAAAACGAATGCTTTTTGATCTCGGAGACCATCAACTCCATCGAGCGGGATGATCGACCAACGAAGACTGGGGACACCGCGGACACCGCTCCGCGGACCGGAGACCTGCTCGTCAGGTGCAGGAGGTGCTGTGCCAAGAGGTGGTGAACATCGTGATTCTGCCGGATCAGATGCACGGCGCGGGTGTTTGGCTGCCGCGGTCGGTTCCGCGCGTCGGTTCCGCGGGTGGTGAAGCCTCGTTCTGCCACCTCGCCGGCAGTCGGCGGTCGGCGGTCGACGCGGTCGGAAGGCGGCCGCATCGTTGGTCGGAGCGAAAGCAGCGGGGGTCGTTGGTTGGCCGTGTGAACTGGTTGCGATGGTCCACTGAGTGATGGGAACCTGTTCAGCGTCCTGAGTACTGTGTTAGCCTGCTACATGAAGGCAACAACTTCAGAACGTAGAATCAAAGGGTGTTTGGTAGGGCCTCATTGAAAGACCCTGCAAAACATGGCCGATTCGACTGCTTCCGAGGATTATCATCTTCGTAGTGATTGGCGTGATATTCCTTGGCCTTTGTGTCGGGGTAGGCACTTGCCTCTGGCGGAACCGACGTGATATTCCGATGCTACTACCAGCGTCATGGATGCATGAATCGGGTAGGGCGGATTGTAGAACTTATGAGAACTTTTTTTGATTTATATGATATACGAATTGCACATTATGGATCGCCGGAGCCCCCACTGCTAGTACAACATCATGTTGCCGGATCATTGCTCTTTGTACAACATCATGTTTCGCTGATGCACATGCGGTGAATGTTCCAATTGCGATTTAGGGCACACAGAAATTACTTGCCGCTACAGGCGTTCGCCTGGTCCTTTAATTAAGACATGCTTTTCCATGACCAGATCAAAAGGAGGTCCTTGACCTATGGGGAACTGCAAAATGTTTTTCTATTGTCATCCATGCTCCCTGCTTGTAGCCCCGATAAACACCAGGTGGACCCAGATTTTGCACCATTCCGTCCGTCTCGTCTCATCAAAGAAGGACCATCTCGCGCTTCGGACGTCTTGCATCGCCCCATTCGGACACGGAGATCTGAGTCCTGGGTGTGGCTGGGCGAACCGAGGAGTGGTTGATGCCTGGGCCCAAGATGGAAGAGGCCTCTGAAGCGGATCGGATTGCGTTCGAGAAAGCCGAAGCTTGGTCTGTGCAGGGTCTGGCCGTTGTGCAGGGTCTGGCCACGCAGATGCTGCGCAGGGTCTGTGCAGGGTCTGTCGAAGTGGGTGTGGAGCCTTTGAGGATTCGGGAAGGCGTAGCAAAGTGAACCGACACGTTTGAGTGTCTCATTTGAGACCCCTCCATGCAAGAGGTGCTCGTGTATTTAAAATCCTCAAACATCTACTGAAGGTCAAACGGGCATTCTCTTTGACACACCTCGCACCTAATCATTCCCTGCCTTTGCTGCACACCCAGGAGCAGCGGAGGATGAAACGAGAGTTGCGTGAAGCGGCTCAAGCCGACTTGGAGGCCTTCCGGGCCTGACGCCTCACTCCAGCGGTTTTCGGGCAGATCGGACCGGTGAGGCTTGCCCAATCAATTCACCCAGGTGTGGTCAGTCCGGATCGTCGGTCGGCCCCAGTAGGTGAGTGTGTCCCTCTCAAAACGGCGGACCCTGGTGAGGTCTGTGAGGTCTGTGAGGTCTGTGACGTCCCGTGCAAGGTCTGTGATGTGAGGTCTCTGTCTGTTCGGGGTCTGCACCAAGACGGGTGGTGCGTGGCAGGCCGGCGGAGGAAGTGGTGACCTAGAGCTCCCCGAGACGTTGCCGGGACATGTGGCGGATGAGAAGAACGACGGTGAGGCAGTGAACCGTGTTTGGGTGGCGAACGGTGAGAGTTTGGCTGAGAAAAGGAACAGCAAAGCAGATGGCACAAGATGGATAAACCACCGGACCTACACGCGGTGTGCCATCCTTTTCTAATAAGCATGCCGCAATCGCTTCAATTGGATTCGTGCCAGTTCTTCGGATTCGGTCGATTTTTTCATGGGAACCCCCAAGTTGAGAGGTGCCGGGATGCACACGGGATGCACCGCCGCTGCTGTTCGTGTGGAGGACAGCCGCGGCACCTCTCTTCCACTTCCTGGAAGCAAGATGTCTGCGGCCTCTGCGGTCACCGATAGCATGACCAGCTCGCAGATGCCAAGGATGCTGGGAGTTGAAACTGCGCGAAGCCATTGGCTTCGCTGGGTTGGCCACAAGAGATCTGGGGCTGCGATCAAAGCCCAGAGTCACCACTCATTAGGTGCCATGATCAACGAAACAGTTTGGATGTCGATGCCTAGGAATGTTCTCGTTTGGCTCCTCCGAGTCGAAAGGCGAAATCGCCCATTTCGCTGCCCTGGCAGCCTCCCTTCCACAATCGGGTCTTGTTCATTGACGTCCGCAGACCAAAGCCAGACCGAAAGCTCGCAGTTGGCAACAGAGAGCTGCAATTCTCAGTCAGATGAGGTTGGTTACTTTCCTGGAGGGGATTGAAAGAAATACAATACCCATGTCATCACCGTATATTATACTCTCTCTCTCTCTCTCTTTAAAAGATATATATATATATATTAATATATATATATATGTATATATATATGGCTCAAGCTTCTCGGCTCAAGGGACCAGGTGGCTCAAGCTCCTCGACTTGGGCACTTCACGACTCCCTCACGCAGGTCCTTGAGGAGAAGCAGGGTGGCCTCGGCGGTACTACCACATGAAGTACACCTCCTGGAGCCGCCAATATCAGGTTTGCAAGCATCCCACCTGTGGCAATTGGATATGGGAAGATAAGATTTGTGAAGGCTACACTTGTCGCAAATGTGGCCAGACTTGGGCCAAACCAGCTGGGGGTTTTCAAGCCAGGTCTCCGTCCCGGTCAAGAGGGCGGTTCACACCTCGCCAGAAGCCCGTGGCTCCCCCTCCAGGCTTGGGGACCGGGCGCACATCCAAGATCTCTCATGTTCACAAAGCCACGACGGACCTGCTCAGATCTTCCTGGACCACCTTGGACTCCAAGCTCCAACAGCAGCTTGAGCAGCTAGGCATCAAGCCTGCGCCTCCCAGCACGGATCCAGATGACTTGACCCATGTGCTGAAAGAGAACATGGCTCAGCTTCCCACTGCGGTCAAGGAACTTGTGGAGCGTATCACAAAACCTCCTCCTGAGACTGAGAAGGACATGGCCCTCAAGCTCAAGGCTCAGGTTTCTGCCCTGCGAGACCTCTCCCACCGCAAGATGTTCTCCAACAACGGCTTGACACAGCCAAGAAAGCTTATGGAGACATGCTTGAGGAGATGAAGGGCATTCAAAGCAAGTTGGAAGCTGAACAAGGAGCTTTGAACTCCACCAGCGCGACCTACATGGAAATGGTGAAGACAACCAAACCGGTCGTTGAGCTTCAGGACGGTGATGCCATGGAGGACACTGTCCCGGAAGCTGTAGCAGGTTTCATCACGACCCTTGGCGTCAGTTTGACACCGGATCAGAAGGCACAGCTCACCACGATGCTGAAACGACCTTCAACTGATGCTCCGGATGAAGAAACCAAGCGCCGCAAAACGGCCGAAGACCTCCAGCAGTGTGGGTAACAGGGCTTTGAAGGTGGCTTCAACACCCATCTCTCCATCTAATCTGCCAGGGGTTGCTGAAAATTTTCAGCTTGGGGACAATGATCAATTGAGTTGCAGGGTTGCAGACAACTCGGTTGATACTTTTGCAGCGTGGGGCTCGAATCAGGTCCTTAGAAGTCACGGGGGCTATGGACCTTGGCGAGATCCCCATCCTTTCAAACTGAGAGGAGGCGGATTGCGTTCCTCCGCTCAGACGGGGCAGCAACCAAGTGGCCCAGGGGCACCGAGCTCTTCTACCTCAGTGCAGGTCCCCAAGGACACTGCAGCGCGCGGGACCCCTCAGGCTCGCTTGGCTGCACTTTTGGTTGACATCATGGATGAAGGCCACACGTACCCTTCGTCCAACTTTTTGACACCAGGGCAGCAAGCCCTCTATGATCTTTGCAAGAAAGACCTTGATGCTTCGAGGCATGATTTTGAGACTCACTGGTCAATTATCAAAGGACAACAATTCCTGGTTGACCTCCGCCGGATGGAGAACACTCTCCACAAGATCCTCGCGGTGCAAGGGGATGTTCCTCATCTAGCCACCAATGTCTATGTGGTGGCACAGGCTCTGACGAGCATCTTACGAAACCCACAAAACATGTGTTTCGGCAACTCGGTTTTCAGATGCTGGAGTTGGGCAGAG